TAAACACCAATGTTGACAAAACCATTGGTATTGGCGGTGGATCTAATCTGGGTCACAATAAAAAAGGTGGTTTGTTAGACCTTGGTGTTAATGTTGGACCATCTGTCAACGTTGGTACCGGAAAAACAGCCATCTATACAGAAAGTACACACAAGCGCGGTCATACAGGACTTTTGGATCTTGGGGTCAACTTAGGATTAGACAAATCCATAAACACCAATGTTGACAAAACCATTGGTATTGGCGGTGGATCTAATCTGGGTCACAATAAAAAAGGTGGTTTGTTAGACCTTGGTGTTAATGTTGGACCATCTGTCAACGTTGGTACCGGAAAAACAGCCATCTATACAGAAAGTACACACAAGCGCGGTCATACAGGACTTTTGGATCTTGGGGTCAACTTAGGATTAGACAAATCCATAAACACCAATGTTGACAAAACCATTGGTATTGGCGGTGGATCTAATTTGGGTCACAATAAAAAAGGTGGTTTGTTAGACCTTGGTGTTAATGTTGGACCATCTGTCAACGTTGGTACCGGAAAAACAGCCATCTATACAGAAAGTACACACAAGCGCGGTTATGCAGAACTGTTGGATCTTCGCAACAATAAAAATGGTGGTTTATTAGATCTTGGTGTTAATGTTGGAGCTGCTGCTAATGTCAATACCCAAAAATTAGTTAACTATGAACGCAGTAGACTGAATCATGGTCACATAGGACTTGTGAATCTCGGTGTCAATTTGAAAACAGACAAATCCATAAATTCCAATGTTGACAAAAAAATTATTGACATTAACGGTATATCTAATCTCAGCCATGATAAAAAAGGTAATTTCTTAGACCTTGGTGTTAATGTTGGACCATCTGCTAATGTCGATACGCAAAAAACAGTTAACTTTAAGGGCAGTAACTTAAATCGCGGTCAAATAGGACTAGTTGATCTCGGTGCAAACCTAAGAACAGACAAATCCTTAAACACCAATGTTGACAAAACCATTGGTATTGGCGGTGGATCTAATCTGGGTCACAATAAAAAAGGTGGTTTGTTAGACCTTGGTGTTACTGTTGCACCATCTGCCAACGTTGGTACCGGAAAGACAGCCATCTATACAGAAAGTACACACAAGCGCGGTCATACAGGACTTTTGGATCTTGCTGTCAACTTAGGATCAGTCAAATCTATTGACTTGGATTCCAAAAAAAATGTTGGTTTTGCAGGTGTAAAAATTCCAAGTCACTGCGGTAAAGATGGTTTACAAAGCGTTGGAGTTAATATAGATTTAGACGCTCAGGTTGGTGTTAGTTTATAGGACTTTAACGATTTAGGAAGATTTTGAGTTGATTAGTACAAGTTATGAGAATTTTTCTCTTTGCTGCACATGAAATTTAGCTTAATGACTAAGTTGGTAATAAAATTATAGCGAATGCCTGTAATGTAACATATAAAAATAAAAATATATATTTTTTAAATCTTATGTTTAAAATTATTTGCCACGCCACAGAGTATTTTTTATTTATTACATTATTTTTTAGTACTGAGGAGTTGTTTCTAAAAATAATTTATCAGTGTTGATAAGCTTTAAAAGTAAAGTTATCATATCTTTCAATGTGCAGAAGATCCCAAGCGGATATTATTTCATGAATAAAAAGTAACAGCTGGTATAAGAGTTATAAAAGTTTAGATTTTAGACAAGTAATAAAGTTTAGTCAGTAATATTTTTTTATTTAATTTTTTTTCGTTATAAATGTAATTCTAAAAAGCACAGAACAATATGAAGTCAATGGAAACAACTGATAATGAAAAATAATATCACTTATTACATTTTACTATCTCAAATCTGGAATTTTACAATTCTTATGATCAGTTATTTTTTATTCATTAAAATAATATACCCACATGACTAGTATTAAGTATTAGTGCACTGCCGTAAAACGAAATACATGAAAAAATTAATCAATTTTTTAACATTATAGCTAATGAGTGCAAGCAATAATAAAAACATAGAACCTAATAACAAGATTAAACCTATTGAGATTTGATGAAAAAAAAATTTTTTTTGTTAAACAAATCAATAAGTACCAAATAATTCATGCCCAATCAACCCGGTAGATTAAAAAAATAAACAAATAAAAAAATTTTTTTTTTAAATCTCAAATAATCAATTTTTCTGCGCACAACGTAAAAAAAGCAAAAGTAAGCATATGTGGTCGATTCTACCTTAAGTGGCCAATTTTGTGCCCAGGGCACATGCTACTACAAGAAACTAAAATTGAATGTTGAAATTGCGTGAAGTTATGTTAAAAGTGTTAAACTTTCTTGAAAAAAACTTTTAAGCTTTATATGTACATTGACTCCTTAATAAGATAATCAAGAAAATATAGTCAAAATATCTCTTCCATACCTTGTCCCAATCTAAATTTCACGCCTAAAATCTCCTTGTTGGAAAGAAAAGCTTTTCTGCCCTGTCCTCGCACAAACGTTGTCAAGTATAGACGTCGTATGCTACATTTATGCCATAATAATATTAATTTTTAATCTATAAGCAAGAGTTTTCATCAAATATTAATTGTTCCACAATTTGAACTGAATTGTCGATGATAGTGGAAATCACTTTGAAAATCACACTGTTGTATTTCGTAACTCCTTTTAGTGGGCACTTTTTAGTCTCACATGTTAACAGGACAAACGCACAATCCAAAGTTGTAAAAAATTCTAATCTCTCTAAATGACACATATTTTAATTTTCAATTTCGTGTGCAAAAATAGGACCTACTACTCTGTTACTCATGTATGTAAGGAACATTTTTTTTCTTGTATTATTTATTGACGACAGGTGTTTTGTAAGCAAAAAATCGTTTATATTAAGTCTTCGAACCGCAAAAGTACTCTAAAGCCCGAAATGTCACTTCCGTATCCCTCAATGGTAAAAGTGTCTCTTTTTCTAGCTTTCCTGCATCGGAACTGTACAAATTTAGTATTGTTGGGATAAAACATGAGACACGGGTTATTGGCGTTTGGTCTAATTGGCCTTTTTTGCGAGATACGTCGATAAATATCAATTGTACTTCCAACACTAGTAGCGAAGGAGTACATTATTTTAGATGGTCCAAAATAGACTCAAATGACTGCTGAAACAAAGCTCTATTGATTAAAAAAAAAAAAAAAAACTTGTTGAATTTGGTGCCACCAATCAAAAGATATATAGGGATTTTTTATTAATTACGAATGTCCGCAAAAGCCTTCGAAGTCTCATTTTTAGCGATTTTTATCGCTCCTACTTAAACAGCTATAACTTTTGAACGGAGGCACTGTAACTGAAATGAAATTTTTTTTTAAATCAATAGGGTTTATTCCTATAGATTTTATTTTATTTAGGTAAAAACACTTTAACTTCACAAGCAAAAACTTTGTAGTAGAATCGCTGTAGATATTTGTTGTGGATGGTATTTGAGATATAACTACTATGAAAAATAATTTTTTCAACCAAATTTTTTTTAAACGATTCTTTAAGGCATTTTGAGCCACTTACGACAGAATAACCCATGTATGTTTCCCCACAGCCGCAACCCCCTTTTTGGCACTTTGGTGGATTTTCCCCGATCCATTGGCCAATTTTCACATAAGCGTAAGAAAGAAAGGAACAGACAATATGTGCACGACCGACCACTATAGGTATATAACACATACACAACATCCCCGACAGAGCAGGGTGGTGGGTGCACTGTAGGCGCTTGCGCAAGCTCTAAAAGTGGGGGGTATATAATAGGGTGCAACTTTCAAGCTCGCGCGAGAGTGTCCGCATGCACATACACAATACTCACAGGCATGTGTCTCTCCACCACTGCCGTGTGCATCGCAATATGCAGTCGTCCTGCACTGCAGATTAAAAAAAAAAAAAAAAAAAGCTCTCTCGCGCGCGCGCCACGGGGTATGTGAGCACAACCCACTCACCTCGTCGGCAGTACAGAACCGTCCGTCCGTCAAATTTCTTCTTTTCTTCTCTCTGTCTATCTTTTTTTTTTTTTTCACTCTTTTTTCCTGGCCTATATACGCGATGATCGTCAATTAGAAAACGGTCCAAGACGGGAGGCAAAACGACCGCAGCAGAAGCCCATACTGCAGCTAAGGGCTCGTCCACCCGAGGATGAGCAAAAAGGGTGGCTACTACTGCGCCTTCAAGAACTGCCGGGGTCTGTCGAGGCGCGACAAGCGCAGCTTCTTCCGCTTCCCCAAAGATCCCCAGAGGCAAGTATATCCCTCGCGTGTGTTTCGCAATCGGCCGCCACGCGCCGTGTATACTTACATAATATGCATGGTCGGGCTTGTGTGAAAAAAAAAAAAAATAAAAAAAAAAAAATCTCTAGGTCGAAGCAATGGGTGAGGGCGTGCGACCGGGGGGACCTCCTGGAGAAGACGCCGCTCGAGTTGTTCAACAGCTACAGGGTGTGCGCTAAGCACTTCGCCGACACGATGTTCCTCAACGACCTGAGAAACAGACTGCAGCCGAATTCCGTGCCGATGCAGCTCGAGCCGCCCGAGGAGACGGCCGTCGAGGACTCGCCCGACCAGCAGCTCCTCCAGTCCGACACGTGCCATCAGGACACCGTTGCCAAACTGCTCGGCAATTGCATTTTACGTGAGTGTGGTTTTTTTTCTTTTTTTTTTTTTTTCTACTCGTTACCTTATACTTGCACTTGTGTCGTCGTGACATTTGTAACTGCGATCACGGTGCTGTACGGTTATCGATTTATTACCGCGGGTATAATATAGGGTTTCAGCCGCGGCGAAGCGGTCCGTGAGTGTTGATGTAATATATTATACGTACTTAAGCTGCATGAGTTGGTTATATTTTAATAAGGATTTGAGCTCGGTAGTCGAAGGTTGTTATTTTTATTTAAAAGTAATTTTTTATTTGTATTTTATAGACGGTTTGTGAGTAAATTCAAGGTAAAAGTATTAGTTTAGAGATACAAAGTTTAAGCTGTTCAGTTCAGAACTCTGTTTAGTTGGGGGATTTCTACGAAACAGGACGAAACGTCACGATAAATTGAGATGAGGTTTTTTTTTAAAAGGTAAAAAATATTGAATTGTCTTTGTAAATGTATATATATTTCAACTAAAAATACTGAACAAAAAATTGTTGTATCGGTGGCAAAAAGTGGAAGAATTTTTTTCCAATTTTTAAAAATATAAAAAATTTACTTTTGCTTATGAGAATATTTCAATTTTACGAATAAAAAAAATAAAAAATTATGTTTCGTTTTTAAAAACGTAACACATTGAAATCGTTATTGAAAATTACGTATTAAAGACTAATTAAAATTATTTATGATTTTGTCTCCATCATTCATAAAACAAGAGTTTTTTTTTTGAAACTTTAATAAAAATGTCATGCTTACTAAGCTTTGTTTTACATGGTAACACAAAACCCACTAAGATTTTTTACGAGATTATCACTAAATATGCGCACGCTAAAAACAAATTTTTTTTTTAGTTTTATTTTTTCGATAACGCAAATAACAAAATTATCGTTTTTTCGAATTTTTTTAACAATATTAAANTAATATAATTCAAATTTTTTTTATTTTAAATTAAAAAACGAGCAAAAAATTATAAATGATCTCGTTTTGTTTTAACAACAAATTAATACACAATTTTTTTTCCATTATCATAATTCCGTCATCGAAACAACAAAATTCAAGAGAAACACCATTAAATTTAGTTGTTTTAGAGCCAAACGGAAAAAAAAGAAAAGAAAATTCATACGCTCTTGAAAGAAAAAAAGTGACTTTCGTAGAAATCCCCACCTATATAGTTTAGCCCAAATATCATAGCCACACATAGCTTATATAGTAAATTAACGTTCCATTAGATCTATAGTTCCATACTTACAAATATCATATACATGAAAGTACACTCTGTATGTATATAACATGCACGTGTTGTTTTTTTGTTGTTGTTGTTGTGTTTCCCCTTCTCCTCACGCCGTCTTCCACAGAAAAAATCTCGGCGGACGAATTTTTCAAAGCCACGGGCATCCGAATAAACGAGCCCGCCCCCGACGAGTGCCCGCAAAACACAAACCAACACCCATCACCCGACCACATTTACTCGAGCAAAAAATCCAACAACAACAACAACAACGCAACAGCAGCAGCAGCCCTGGCCATCGACATAGACAACGACAACCCGAGCAATTTCTCCATCGAGGCGCTAAGCTACCACGACCTCATAAACTCCCTGCCAACGTCGCTGATCAACGCCCCCGGCGCCGAGTCACCCGAGCTCCCCGACGACATACTCGACGACCTGCACCAGCCGATGCTGCTCGGCAACATAACCAACGCCTTCGACTCCCTGGAAGCCATTCGACAAGCAGACGACCGAGTCCGCATCAAAGAGGCCTGCACTCAGACCGAAGACGACGAGGACAGCGCTTGTTGCGACAACGACTACGGCGTCTCGGTGGAGAGCACGGTGATGAAGCCGGGCAAGAGGACGGGGAAGCACCTGCGCGGCGGCAAAGGGGACAAGGCGAGGGAGGTGGCACCGGGGTGCCGGAAGGGCGGCCTGGAGAGCGTCACCCTCGAGCAGTACGAGCTGCTCACCGAGAGGTTCTTCCCGAGGGAGACGTCCGAGTTCATAAAGGTGCAGGCCCAATTGTTCAAGAAAAAGACCGCCGACCGGGAGTACTCGCCGGGGTTCAAGAGGCAGTGCCTCGCCCTCTTCCTCGCCGGGCCGCGCACCTACAAGAACTTGCAGAAGCTGTTTTGCCTGCCGGGAGTGCGCGACCTCCAGACGCTTAAATACTGAGCTGGGAGTTTTTTTTTTTTTTTTTTTCAACTCATCTAGATGTTTTTGTTTTTGCAAGCTCGCGTCGTATATTACATATGTATAGTGGAGCGAAAAAACAAAACAAATTAGTTTTGTTGACAAGTACATCTTTGTGATGTGCGAATAGCGAAAAAAAAAAAAGGTAACTATTAGAGTAACGACGAAAATGTATAAGTTGTAGAATGCTTGTGTAAAAAAATAAACAGAAAACCTATAGATGCTAACGAGGATGATGATATATATTATAGTGAACTATAACATAATTATAGCGAGCAAAGGAATCGTTTTAATAGATTTATCAAATAATATATATATATTAATAATAGCCATAATAGTAATATAATCAGACGCAATAGTGATATTACAAATATACATATTATACATACACATTACGTATATATATATTTATGATACTCGTAGATTGTAATATATTTTTAAGCTGTGATTTAGTTGAAGCGTTAAGTTTTGCATTTTTAAATGGTAAACAAAAATTTTTTTAACTTTTATATAGGTTTTTACACGTAGATTTTTAACATATGCGTAATACATGTAGATATTAGGTGTTTTTATGATATTGATGTATAATATACGTAGTTAGGTGAAAAACAAATTTTTTCATGAAACGCTCATACACATCACAAACATGTTCTTATATTAGTTCTTAGGTGCAAATAAGGTATAATGTATACATGCATGCGTATGATGTACGTTTACCTAAAAACGAATACTTACCTATAACGTCAATAATTGCTGTTGCGTTGGAACATTTTGACTCTCGTGTGACGACGTCAATAATAAATTTTTTAACTGCACAAGACTTGATGCATTTGCATATCAATCCAACGTAACTTGCGACGATCCAAAAGACAACGCAGCTTTTAAGATTTTTCGTATACATACATTTACTTATAAATATATATATACATATATACATAGAGATTTAGCGGACTGAGGTTCGGCGCATAAAGAAACTGTAATTTACATCCAAGCACGCAATAAAATCAATTTTTTATTCTTTACAAGTGCGACTCTTCAGTCATTTCATATCCTTCTTTGTATGTTTTTATTGGAAAAAAGGGGCAAAATCCATGCAAAAATGTAAGTTTAAATACATTTTTTTGATCAATTAATATCAGTACCATTAAATGGGTTTTGGGCTATTTTTATGAACTATCGTTATTTAGATCATATAGTAATTGAATTTTAGACATAACAGTATATGAATTCTAAAATATAAAACATCAGAAGCTATAATAAATTTTCCTCGACTATACGTAAATCTAAAACAGAACCGTTTTTTTGATGTGTTAAAATATTTTCTTTAATTTTCAGAGCATCAAACAGGTCGCAAAAAAGTACACAAAAACAGAAAGTTTGTATTTTTTTTATTTTTTTTTTTACAACGTTAGTATTCATACACTCAGTAAAAAAACTATTTTAAAAATTATGTTTAACTGTTCGTTGTCTTCTAGTACATCAGGATTGTAATTTGAATGAAAGTCAACTATATCGACTATACAACAACCTTCAATAAAAACGTAGGTACACCAGCCTCTCAAAAACGCCCGAGGTAAGAAAAGTAGTAACTATTAAAAAGAACTTCCATGATTAATTATCACTATCTCATACTTAACTTTTAAGATTTATCAAAAACTAATAGCTATTAATAATTGTTAATAATAGATTATTTTTATTGTTTTATATTTTATATTAGATGGAAAAAAAAGTAATAAGAGATAATAAAAAATGTGTGCACGGTTGGACCGTTTGATCTCGCGAACAAAAAAAAAGTAATAACTAATAATAAGGATTAAAAAGTTTTAATACCAACTTTTGATGGACAGTTGTGAATAATAAGTTTCATTACTTGTCTCAAATCTAGATGTTAAAAAACTGTTATTATTTTTTTTTTATTTTCTACTAATTTAAAAAAATAATTATAACCAACTTATCGAAAGAAATTATTTCCTCTTGGGACGCTGTGAAAAACAGTAGGTAATATTTTTAAGCAGATTAACCAAAAGAGTTGATCGTTCATTTATCAGAAATGTGTCCGATCAAGAATTTTTGAAAATTTCCGATTCGCGCCTGAGATGTTGCCAATTTATAGTGCAAAAAAATTGAAAAATGGCGGTTTTTCTATGATTTTTCGTTCTTTACTTGGCTTCTCATTGGATATATAGAACTCAAACACGAGCTGGAAATTTCTTTTCGAAGCTAAAGATCCATGCTTTAAAATAAGTTATGGGGTTCGACGTTCCGGGCAAAGACGAAAACTATGCCCTTTTTTGGTCCCAGGCAAAGACTGTGCCCTTTTTGGTCCAAGAAGAAGACTGCAGTGTCCTTTTTTGGTCCCAGACGAAGACTGTGCTCTTTTTTTGAGTCTAGATGAAGACTACTCCTTTTTCCCGAGTTTGAACGAAAACCGAGACGAAAACTATGCCCTTTTCTCGCGTCCGGACTTGTTTATTAGCTTTATTATTAGCTTGGATGAGAACTGTACAGTTTTTTTGCATCTTCGTATAAATTATTATTGTTTCTGTTCTAAAATGAATACTAAAATATTTTACGTTTACAGTATCAAATTAACCATATTTTCCAAAAAAATTGAAAAGCGTAAAAAAGAATTTTTTATAATTTTCTTATAAGCAGGGACATTGAATTTTCGAAGCAAATAGTCTTTTACCGATTTTCGGTGCTACTGGCACCTCGACTGGCACCACGATGATACCGCTGTACCCTCCTCTTCATGCTGTCAAAAATCATCTACTTATATAAATAATGTTATAAGAATTGCCATATCTGTTAATCAAAGTATTCAAGAGTTGTATATATAATATACACTTGAAGCATTTAATTTTATCATGGAAGCACTTGAAGTTCTCAATCTTAAACGTTAAATTTGGATTTACATGAAGTATTACTAGCAGCATTGCTTTTGTAATTTGGTGATCATGTGAATTGCGATGTAAGTACGAAGTATGCGATGCTCCTGCTTCCAATTTTGTTTTGTTTAAAATTCAGGTGAGTGTAAGAATTTTTAAACGTAGTTCCAATAAATCCAAGCTTAGGGAAAAAGGCAGTTTTCGTCTGGACTCCAGAGAAGGTCATATAATTGTCTTCGTCCGAGACCAAACACAGCATATATTATAGTCTTCGTCCAGGGCATCGAAATAACGTTTTTAGAGAAATGCTGTATCACTTTTAAGTTATATTTTTGCGTGAAATTAAGCTAATTAAGTTGTTTTTTTCGTATTGACATGTGATTTTTTTTAAAAATATGTAAGAAAACGATGAGACATGAATAATTTTATTCCCACTATACTAACACTCATAGTTTATAGAAACGCGCTCTTAAATTGTCACAACTAAACGTTGAAAGTTCGGTGTGGAATTAGACATCTAAGTACCTATATATTTTTTGCAAATTTTTTGCTGCTGGCGATATGATGCGCGCGCTGGTTTAGCTTCTGCTACAAGTAACAAACAGACGTTGAAGTTATACCGATAACAAAAATGTCAAAGCGTTGTGAAAAAAAGTTTTGATTTACGAAACGTGCAATTTAAATCGTCAGGATGAACATCGAGAGTAAGATAAATGTGCACCAGTCGTCCTTGGTCGGACTGAAAGCAGAATTGTTGCGGAAAAAAAGCGAAGTCGAGGAAGCAAAGGCGAGCCAGCAAAATGTCCAGTACCTCAACAAACAGAGGGAAAAGATCAACAGAAAATCACAAAAGGAGCAAAAAAAGGAAGAAAGAAGAAAACGAAGGGAGGAGAAAGAAGAGAGGGACGAGGATCCCGAGACTATGAAAGCCCACAAAAAGTCACAGCTGATGCTGCAGGCAAAATCTAGGTTATACTCCCAGCTGTCAAAGTCGCACACCACCATAAATCCAAATTTCCTTGTGGATTTCGAAAACAAGCCAGACTGGTCGGATCACTCCGATGAAGAGGACAGGTGTAAAGATAACGAAAAAGACGATGATGATTACGCGAGTGACTACGATGATTCTGACAGTGAGTGGGTGGAGTACACGGATTGCTTTGGGCGTTCAAGGAAGTGCTTGCGGGAAGATCTGCCAAAGATGCGGGAGAAGGATGATGATCTGAGGAAAACAATTGTAGAGGTTCCACCAAAGAGAGCTAAAGAGCAAGTGCAGTTTTTCGAAGACAGGGAGCCCATGAAAGAACCAACTATCGACGTCATGAGGAGGAAGTGGGAAGAACAAACTGCTAAGCTAGCCAACAAGGCTGACATTCATTATCAGGATATTCTGTTTGACGAAGCGAGATCTCATGGTGTTGGGTATTTTGCCTTTTCTCAAGACGAAGAAGAGAGAGCCAAGCAGCAAGAAAGTTTGGTCAAATTGAGAAAAGAAACTGAGCGAAAGCAGCAGGAAAATCAGAGAATACTGGAGATGAAAGAAAAAATACAGCAAAACAGACTGAAAGCTGCCAGAATCAGGCAGAGGCTCAGAGCTGGACTGCCTCTTGAGGATGCTGAAGAAGACAAAACTGAAAACAGTAACGAGGCATCAAATCAAGAAGACAATGGCAAAAAAGAGAGCGTTGTGGAAAGTGTAGAAGCTCAGAAAGAGAAAGAAAATGACGAGAGCAGTAAAAATGTCGATAGCAAGGAAAGCAGTCAGGATGAAGTAGCTAGGAAAAAACTTGAAGTTATCGAGGACAAGGTGAAGGCCTTTGGTGAATTATTGGGTAAAAGAAATAAATGGTATGTCATGTCCCAAGATGAATGGGTGCAAAAGAAGAGAAAAGAAAGGATAGATGAGTTTGCACCAACATACAAGAACTTTGAACAGGGTGAAACTTTAAATAGTAATAGATCCTTGAAAGATTCAACAAATATCTGCGAATCTTTGAACAAAGACTCGGATGTGATTGATCATAAGGCTCCTAATCAAAATAAATCGAGTGTTATGGAACCTGCGCCACAACTTTTCAGTGTAGAAAGTTTTGATAGGTCTGTGCCACCACCTTTGAATATAAATTTTACAGGACCAATGCTACTATCTACAGATTACATAGGACCGGCACCTCCTACATTGACTGAAGAATGTTATATTGGACCAGTACCACCACCTTTGGAAGCTTTTAGAGAACCAGTACCTCCTTTATTGCCTAATGAAGATTTTATAGGCCCCGTACCACCATCTTCAGACAATTGTATAGGACCAGTATCTCCACCTGCTCCAATAGATATCCCACAAATTTCCAAAGGTTGGTATAAATATCAAGGTTTTTCAATATTTTATTGACTGCAACTTTAAATTTTTAAGTACATCTACCATTTGTATTAGAAAAAAAAATCTTAATTTTTATCAAATGAATTTCATTAAAAAAATATTTTATAACAAGTTTCTGATTCGAAATATTAGTTATATATAATATTCAATTAACAGCATTATTCATAAATTTTAGATTTGGTGTCCAATGTAAATGTTGAGGATCAGATTGCTGCTGGATTGAAGTTTTTGAGACAACAGTTTGAAAGCAAACATCGTAAGAGATAGTGTCTAATGAGAAATGTGTGGGAGTATTGTGTACATATTTATGACAAGATTAAAAAAATTAAATTAATATGTTTTGTATTGTAATTTTTTTGTGTTCTTGGTGTGAATTTGGATACATGATTGTTTCACAAATTGCTGCAACGTAAAACAAATTGAAGTTAATTTTATATAAAATTGAAAACTCTCAACTAAGTAAAATTGCAGCATATGTAATTATTTAATGAACACGAAAAATGTTCAACGACAAGCAGTGCAGTATGGGGCATATTAAAAGGTGATCATTTTATCTCTTATGAATTATTACACTAAATATACAGCATAATTATTACACTATTACATGGCTTACACTAAATTGCCCTGGCAATTAGGAAAACAACTTAAGATTCCAACTCTCAGATGACATACTAGGTAATGATAATAACCGAACTGGACCTTAAGTACCTAGGTATGTATTACATCATTAAATAATCGTAAAAACCAACCACATAAATCTACTTGTAAAGAGGAAATGCATGAAAAAATTAAAAAAAAAAAACCCAGTCAAATCAAGTATATTGGATTGTATGTAAGGTAAGGGTGCCTGTATATGGAAGACCTGCTGTTTGGCAACTTCCCGTCAAAGCTCTCTGGTCTCACGAGAGTGAGAGAGAGAGGTTTATCACGTGACCCCATTTACTGAGACCAGAGAGCTTTGACGGGAAGTTGCCAAACAGCAGGTCTTCCATGTACAGGCATCCTAATAAATATATAGCTTCTGCTACAAGTAACAAACAGACGTTGAAGTTATACCGATAACAAAAATGTCAAAGCGTTGTGAAAAAAAGTTTTGATTTACGAAACGTGAAATATACATATTATACATACACATTACGTATATATATATTTATGATACTCGTAGATTGTAATATATTTTTAAGCTGTGATTTAGTTGAAGCGTTAAGTTTTGCATTTTTAAATGGTAAACAAAAATTTTTTTAACTTTTATATAGGTTTTTACACGTAGATTTTTAACATATGCGTAATACATGTAGATATTAGGTGTTTTTATGATATTGATGTATAATATACGTAGTTAGGTGAAAAACAAATTTTTTCATGAAACGCTCATACACATCACAAACATGTTCTTATATTAGTTCTTAGGTGCAAATAAGGTATAATGTATACATGCATGCGTATGATGTACGTTTACCTAAAAACGAATACTTACCTATAACGTCAATAATTGCTGTTGCGTTGGAACATTTTGACTCTCGTGTGACGACGTCAATAATAAATTTTTTAACTGCACAAGACTTGATGCATTTGCATATCAATCCAACGTAACTTGCGACGATCCAAAAGACAACGCAGCTTTTAAGATTTTTCGTATACANAAAAAACAAGATGGCATCCCGTCATGACCCTGCTAATTCAATGACTTGATCAATACTTTACGAAATATCTCAAATATTTCCAGGCTTACCTATATTTTTGAAGGTACCATCTGAAAGCTGAGATGTTTTTCTATAAAACAGTTACAGTCCTGATATGTAACTCCTCGATTATTGTTAGAAAATACCGATGTTCTCACGTTGCTCCATGAGAGGCTATGTATAATGTACGAACTTTGAGAGCAAATATCTCAAAATTTTCCAGGGTTAGGGGGATAAATAAGGACACCGTTGAAATCAGCGTGTTTTTATCTATCAATTAAGCTACCTGTGACCTCCTAACTCCTCCCGCTGGAGCCCCCTTAAGCGATCGAGTATCAAGCAATGATATTCCAAGTAAGATTGTTCGTATAAAATATTATTTTATTAAAACAAAACTCTTCAAATTACTAGAAACAAGTCTTAAAAATGTACCTATTACCTCGCATTTGGTGTGCAATCCTTATTTAATAAATAATCGGCTTATATTGGATGAGTGTTCAGTTATAGGTACTGTCCGGTAATAGGGTCACTTACTTTACCCATGTGAAAAGTATCGAAGTAAAATATTTGAAGATTGAAGTGTACAATAGTATAAGAGGGAGAGAGGGGGACAATTTTTTTTTAATCGCAGTTTGCCGGTCAGGTCTGCAACTGCAGTCTCCTCTTTCAATGGCTGCCGCTGCGTATAAGAGGCGTAAGTATACTTTAATGATATTTGTTGCCCCGCGAGGAGTTGCCGACTTGGCGCGCGCCTAAGGTAAGTCAGTAGTCAGCCAACTCGGGCCAACTCGCGAGTTGTCCCGCGCAAAGTTACTTACCTTGATCGATTCACGAGATAAAAGCACGATATTGTTTCGTACACCTCTATATACACGTAGCGATTTTCATCAACGCAAATCTAACGTTATACAAAAACATTTATTATTTTTTACTTAGGTATTAGTACTTTCATTAGTTGTAATCAGATAGTGCACATTAATCCCGAGAAAAAGTCTTCAAGTGCCGCTGCACGCACGAAGGTAAGCCAGAATTTTTGGTTATGACGGCGCAAGAAAGAGCGCGCGAGGCGAGAAAACCTCGTGTGCAATCCTGCGCCCACCGTACATCTATAGATATATTATACATGCATACTCATATACATGTGTAGATGTGTATATCACATATACACATGTAAAAACCGCAAATTGCGTACGTGAATCTCTCTGTTTTGTTATGGGGTCGGGAAGATAAAATAGGTTTTCCCGCCACTGGATAACTTAACCTCCATAACCTCGAGGTCAACGACCTTAGTGAGCAGGTGGAGTATTAATAAACAAGTTTTACGTGCATTATTTATTTTTTTTCTTATTGTCGTTGTAGAGAGGTGCTCGCGCGACGAGGGGTTAATTTGTGTATTGTTAGCTGCTGAACGCATTCTCGACGTGATTTCCTCTCGAGCAAAAGATAGTCGTTTCGATCGTTCGTGTACCGCTTTCGCTGTTTGTTTAGCTAACTGTAAACCGTATCATTATACATTTGCAATGCTTATTACGATATTTAATAGGAGGATATATCCAGATTTACCGCTGTACAGCAGCTGCGTGCGTTGCATACTTACGTAGGTACAAGTTGGCACATGTATGTGGTATGTGTGTGTGTGTGTGAGTGTACTCTGTCCGGTTATCACGATAGCGGCGGTGCAGGAAAAGAAAAGTACACCTAAGAAATCTGTGGGTCAAAAGTTAAAATTCTCTCGGCAACTACGACTTGTGTCGTAAATTTTATTGTTTTAGCGTCACAAATGTCACAAATATTCAATGTTTTTACAAACTTGATCCAACGATATTAGCCCAAAGTAAGACAATGCCAGAGAGTTCTGAAATACTACTTGCATTCATTCGTCAATCCATTTAACATTCGAGATAGCGTGACTTCCTCCTCATCCACAACATTTCAGTGTATGTGTACGCGATAATTTCCCAGTTGCTGTTGAGATTTGCTAGTGTTCAGACTTTTTGATTATGTCGAGGATTACGTTTAGGGGTAGTCTGTTTTAATTTACGTTTGGTTCCCACAACTTAAGCATAGAGTACATGTTACTACAATAACTAGCATGTCGATGTCAAAGTTAGCATCTCATCGATTGTGTTGTTGTTGCAGGTAACCTGATTTAACTGTAAAATGGTTGAATCCGAACACAGCGAGAGCGAGACTAAAGTCCAACAGCAGTCGGAGGATAACATGGAGACGAGCCAAAATATTTGCAAGCGGTCCAGGACTGATGTGGCTGAAGAGGAGATGCCGAGTAAGAAGCCACGCCTGGACGAAGCTGTAGTTGACGAAGATAAAGTTGTTAAGCAGACGAATGGAGATGCCAAGGAGTCAAATGGTGATTTGACGAGCAAGGACGAAGCAAACAAAGATGCTGATTTGGAAGAAAAAATGGAGGTTTCGGATATTGTTTCCAAATCTGATGATGTAAATATTGCTGAAGATGGTAAGGCTGATGAAAAAGCAGTAGACGAAAAAGAGGAGAAAAACAATGAAGGTGGTGCTAAGAATGATGTCCAAGAGGTAGAGAAACAATCGAACACTGTGGATAAAGATGCTGAGAAAGATGTCAAAGATACCAAAGATAGTTCAGAAAAGGATGAAGGAGAGAAAGATGTTGAACAGGATGTTAAAAGTACTGAGACATTCGATTTGAAAAGCACTGCTGACAAAAAAGACACCATTGGTGTCAACAAAAAATTGACAACTGCCGAAAATGATGACAAGACCAAGTTGGAGGTAAGAAAACTTTATTAATTAACTACTTTGTTTGGAAATGTTAAATCTTTAATCTGATGTTTTTTTTAAGGATGAAGTTTCAAAAGAATCTAAAGATGATTCAAAGGGACCTAAAGAAGATTTGAAAGATTCTAATGAAGACCAAAAAAAAATCAAAGAAAACTCTAAAGAAACGAAAGAAGATGCTAAAGAATTGAAAGAAGATGCTAAAGAATTAAAAGAAGATGCTAAAGACCCGAAAGAAGATGCTAAAGAATTAAAAGAAGATGCTAAAGAGCCGAAAGATGCTAAAGAATTAAAAGAAGATGCTAAAGAGCCGAAAGTAGATGCTAAAGAATCGAAAGTAGATGCTAAAGAATCGAAAGTAGATGCTAAAGAATCAAGAGAAGATGCCAAGAAATCAAAAGAAGATTCAAAGAAAGCTGAAGGACTTAAAGAGAAATCCAAAAAAGTTACAAACGAAGAAAAAAATATGAGTAAGACCTCTAGCAAAAAAAATTCAGAAATAATACACGGCATGGAGCTCACAGTAGAAAATGCCAGTGATGAAGAATCTAAAGAGGAAGAAGAGAGTGAGAAGGAAAAAAGTTCGAAGCCTAAAACAAAAACCACAATCGTCAGAGAAAAACCAAATGAAGATGAAGTCGAAATGGGTTCCTCGGAGGAAGAAAAATCTGAGTACAAGGTTATGGAAGCCAAGACCAAGCCAAAGGAAAGTTCCAAGACTCCGGCAAAGCCAGTCAGGAAGCGCGGCAGACCCAAGAAATTGAGGGACATGACTGATTCAGATAAGAGTGCTGAGTCTAATTCGGAAGATGATGATGATGACTATTCTCCTAAAAAGAAAGTTAAAAAGTCTCCTATTGTTAAGAAGACTCCTTCCAAAGGGCCGGAAGGTAGTAGGGGGAGAGGTCGCCCTCGAGGAAGGCCGCCAAAAACTCCTAGGAAAATAGTGGCTGGAGAAGAGGAGGGTGAAAAAAAAGAGGAAAAAGTTGAAAAGAAGGTCGAAAAAAAAGAAAAGAAGGTTGAAAAGAATAGTGAAGATGCTGAAAAAAAAGAAAAAAAGGAAGAGGAGCAAAAGAAGGAGAAAGAGGATAAGGATTCTGAAAACCAAAACGATTCTATCAACGATGAATACTCAGCTAGCGAGGTATCGGATGAAAAAAGTGATGACGATGAGGATGAAGACGTCAAAAGTGGGAAGAAAAGGAAGGCAAGTGTAAGTATATCATATTATTCTTTTTATTCTAAAAGTACTTTATATTGACAATTTATGCTTGTAATGTGCAAGAATGATCTTATGTTTTTGATTATGAATTTCAGACTCGTAACATCAAAAAGATAGAGAAATTGAAAAAATTCATCAGAACTGCAGGAATACGAGTGAAATGTTACAACACTCTATTAAAAGATTGCAAGACAGATGCTGCCAAAGTAAGACGTTTGAATGCATTCCTTGAAGATAACGGAATGGTGGGGAGGCCGACTCTGGATAAATGCAAAAAGCTGAGAATAAAAAATGAAACAAAAAAAGAAGTTGCAGAGTTGGACAAAAACAACGTGATCTCTGAAAGTAAGTGTTTCTAATAATTAATAAAGTTGAATCTTGGTGATTTTCTAATTAACATTTGAAATTTTTAGCTCGTGCCACCCGAGGAAGGCCGCGAAAGTCACAAGTTGAGCCAACATCTGATGTACCTATATCCCCTACAAAAGCTCGCACAACTCTAAAAAAGATCAAGACTGTTGTTGACAGTGATTCCGAATAAAACTGTAATCATGTAATTTTGTACAAAAGAAGAGCAAAAATTAATTCATGATTTTCAATAGGAAATCACTAAGAATTCTTAGCACTGCGGGGCATGTAAAAATTTTCAATTGGAAACAAGTTGCTTCTGTTGAAGAGAAGTAAGTTACACATCCAGGGAGCAATAGTGAGGAATGCCCCAGATCGCACCTTTGTTGTCATCCGAGGCTTTCTTCACTCCCTCCCGTGATGTGTAAACAATTTAATTTTCTTTTTTTCGTCGTATCTTGGCATCGACGCGTTAAGTGAATAATTTCAAAATAATTATGATCATTAAATTAAATATAATATTTTACCAAGTTAGTAATATTTCTAGTTTCACGTTATGTATAATATTTAAGGATTTCAATGGATTTTGCTGGATTTGTTGGATTGAAAAAAAAAAAAAAAAAATCAGTTTATTTGTTGCTGTTGTAATAGCAGAAGAAAAAAAAATGTGATCTAACGAATCCATGTAGTACACATGTGTATAAACCAGAGAAAAAAAAAACAAGGATTAAAATTTGTAATATTTACTATTGACTTTTTTGGAATTAATCGTGAAACTAATATATTGTAATCGTTATGTAATCTAGTACGTATAAAACAAAGAAACTTAAATGCTAAAAAGCCCTCTTTTTTCTTTTTTGCGTTTGTTTGACTTTATAATACAAAATATAAATTAATTTGAAATGACACCGTTGAACTGGTTAACTCGACACGCGGGTGCTCGCAAAATTTCATCTGCCCATTTTTTTCCTCTGCAGAAATTCAGCGATGCATTCCTTGCTGCAGAGCAATTTGTTTTCCTTGACGGCTATCTGTCCGCCCAGAAGGCTCTTTTTGCAGGTGAAGCAGCAGAAGCAAGTATCGTTGGCGTGAAAATCCAAACCCTTAACGGCAACACCCTGCTGATCCGCAGCAATGACGCTGTCACAGGCGTTGCACGTCTTGGCGTAGTACTTCTGATAGCACGGCAAACAGAGTGGCCGGTCGTTTTCCGTGACGTACTGGCGGTTTGCCAGCGGAGTGTCGCAGTCCCAGCAACAAAAGTGCTTTACGTGGTAGTTGTTGCCCTCGGCCACAGTATACTCCCGTACAAAAATGAGCTGCGAAAAAAAAAGTAATACTTAATTTCCAAACCAAATGTACACTTTAAAGGATTAGGTATTGCAAGTACCTCGTCGCAAGCGTGACACCTCGGGATCTCCAGGAGCTTGGCCAGGTCCCTCCCACAGTAGAGCCTGCCCTTGTACGTAAAGTACACTAGATCGACGAGCAGCTCGTTGCAGGCACAGCACTTGAAACAGCCGGGATGCCAGACGGCGTCCTTGATCTTGTCAGCGGTCACGACCACCTGACCTGGGTATATGTCGTCCTCGCACCTGGTGCACTCGCGTCTCCCGTGTGTGCTCATCTTCATAGCCTGGAGCTCGTTCTGTAGCTGGTCAATGTGCTCCTGGTTCTGGTAAGCCGTCGAGGCGCCGCCGACAGCTTCCTCCGGGAAAACTGGATTGTTCAGAGCCTCCGAGTGAATCAGGCTCGATTGGACCGGCAGCGAGGTGTTCAGCTCGACTGGGAGCCGCTCGGCGCGTGTACCGTAGACCGACTGGTTGTTTCTCACCGCGCTCACGTCCATCGGGCTCCCAGCTGCTGTTGTTGGCTTGCTCTCGAATTCTTTCGCTATTTCCGCGCTGCATCTTTTTATATCCTCGGAAGCCGAGACTGCAGCCGCCGGATGCTGGCCACTGTTATGATTTAAGAGGGAAGACGGGCAAAGTTTAGAGCCGAGTATTTCGTTTGTAAATAACGCGCGACGCTTCATTTTAGTAATTAATATATTTTTTTTTACGTCAATTTTCAACACGGAAAATAAAAGCGACTCGCGATATATTAAAAATAATCACATCCGGACTCACCTGACGACAAGGTCTCGGGGAGCCTGCCGGCCGTTGCCGTACTTGTCGCTGAGCTTTCCCCTGATGTGGGCGAGTCCGTCCTCGTTCAGACTGCTGCCCACGATGTCCCCGGCGTTGACGTTGCTCGGCGGCAGTAAGGCCTCAGACAGCATTTGCTCGGCCAGTTGGGCACAGCTAGCTGCCGGCAGCTCGCTCGAGAACTCCAGGCCCTGCTCGACCTGTCCGCCGAGACCTTCCACGCGAGCTTTTCGTATTGCTCGAGCCGTGCCTGCCGCGCCGACCTGGACCCGTTCCTCGGAAGCGATCAAGCCGGGATTTCTGGAGTACCTCAACTCGCAGGGTGACGGTCGTTGCTGTCTACTCGGTGTCAACGGACAACCGGGAGAATGACAGACCCCGACGGGCACGTCTGTCGACTGAGCCAAGCTAGCGTTGCACGAGACGTTGGCCAGGGCGTGATGGTAGCGACTAGAGTCCACGGGCATGGGACCGCTGCCGATAACCGGGGATGCAAACTTATGCACTGGTTCACTGGAACCTGAAGTGTCTGGTGACGGCCTATCCGGCAGTCCCTTAGGGATGAAGCTACTAGGCGTGCGGAGGCTCGATGTGCCGTTGTTTCTTGTCAGCTGCTGGCTGTGCTGGGGACTGAAACGCTGGACGTCCGTGGCGTTGGCTGGTGTCATCAGGGACTGATCGAACGGCCGGATGGTCATCAACTGCAACCAAAATTTCAATGCGTTCATCAATGTGTATCAAAAGTAGATTTGTGTCAAAGAGAGTACGCATACGGTCTGAATCTCAATAGGTGAAAGTCAATTCAGGGAGAATCATAAAGTATAGTGGATCAAACCGGCTAAAAGCCTACCTTGGAAACCCTGCCCTGTCCGGCACATCTCTTGAGATTGTTGAGGTACTTGTCGAACTCCTTTCTCTCGTCGTCATCGAGGCCGGCGCAGGCCGTGTGGTCGATGTCGTGCAGAGGCAGCTGCTTCTGGAGCTGTTGCTTCCTGAAAGCCGCGCCCGACGAGCCGGAGATCGGTAACTTATCCAAGGGCAGGGCCTTCATGTAGTCGGCGGCCAGCTCCTCCGTCGTCTCGGGTGGCACCCACTCGAACGAAGTTTCCTCCTGCGTTTGCTTCTTGTCGTTTACTTTTAGCACTTGAAGGAAAAAAGAGGAAATAGATTTTTTTTTTTTTTTCATCAATTTTCTATCAGATTCGTCGCAGGACTTACGGACGGAATTGTTTTTCCTCCGGCTCTTGACGTTGGGCCCGAAGAGGAGCTCGAACTGAGGGAACTCGTCGTCGTCAAAGTCGTGCTCGTCGCCGCGGCACTTGCAGTTTTTGCATATCTTGCGCCAAAAGTGCAGATCCAGTCCAGGACACGACGACTCGCAGCTTAGGCACGGGGCGCCGGCGCCCACCTCGTGGCCAAGGCGTTGCTGTTAAATAATATTATTGTATTTTAAATGTTATTTGTACGTTGTAAGTTTGCCGACTCTTTGGGCCCTTGCTTAACTTTACATGATGGTATATTTAACAACATTGTTTTGGCAAAAATTAATAATGATGCATCATATTTTCGGAAAAAAAGTGCTTAGATGCGAATAAAATAATTTTGTCCGAATTTACTAGGTTACAGGTATATGATGAATCGAGAATTCTCATAATCGTTCTTTTATTCATTTTTTTTTTTTTTTTTTTTTGACTAGATAATTTCCAGTTTCGATTTCTTACTCCCGACTTTGGCCAATTTAGTCATCGCGCACACTGCGAGGCGATTTTTAAATTCCAGCTGTATATGGTTCATTTAAATCATCGCCTTGCTAAAGGTGTAACAATTTTATTTTTTATCATTGGTAAACTTAAAAAAAAACCATTTGCATGTCATACCTTTCGCTTTCGATTTTCGAGCTCCTGCAACCATTTGGGCCTGTAGTCCTCCTGTCCCGCCTCACTTGCACCACGATTACTCATTTCGAACCCTCGAATGCGTGTATTTTTATTTATGTCCTATACTGGAAAACAACACTTTGACACTCGGACACGAGCAAAGTTGCCAAAAGGGCATTTACCTAGAACTGTGCCACTTACACACTATTAAATATCTTTATCCGATTTTCGCGATAAACACACGTGCTCGTGAAACACGAGTGCATACAACTGCAGCCCAAACAATATAAACATAAGCCGTGCCACGTCTTGTAATTAATGCCTGGATGTACCGAGACACACACCGATCCAACTGCAAGGCGCCCCTTGAATTGTCAACTTGTTTCACCAACTGAAACCAATAACCAATATCGAAACTCTATCTAAACGCTTTCTTATCAACGAGAGAGAGCCCGTACGTCATCACACCAATCTTGACACACGTTGTGCTAGAGTAGAGAATGACTAACATGAAGCATATATACATCACATGCCGCTGTTAGTCATACCTCCTTTGCTTATACCTACTTTGCTTTGTCTCTCCCTCTCTTCCAGATAAATAAGTCTCTCCTGCTCTTTTATTCCCCATCAGCTGCAGCTGCTGCATCGAAGAAGAGAGGAGAAGAGAACAAGGAGAAAAATGTGCTTATACATAGTATATTAGCAGTAAGACTCAACTCTTACTTTGCCATCATTAAATGAAAGGGGTGAAGACCAAAAGGGTCAGTCCCTATTACGCTAGTATAAGTTGTATATTAGATTTGTTTATCTCTCTCCTCTGTCACAAAAGTTCCTTGTTTTTGTTCGATCGATATGTCAACTTGGTCTGTAGCGAATACAAAGAGACATCAAGGTCTTGCAGCCGCAGTAGCCTTGAGATCGGAAAACACGTTTTTTTTTGTTCATTAGTAAGATTTTTTTTTTTTTTTTTAATAAATCACCGGGTATAAACTTGTCGGTGTTAATTACAAGGAGCGCCAAACTCTTGAGGGGTCCATTTATTAAAAGCGCTTCTAAATATTTCGTCAAGCGCGCCGAGTTTTGCCGCCTGCCTCCCGCATCGGCTTCTTTTTTATTGTCAGTTTGCCAAACCGGCAGATCGTTTCATTTTCGCTTCCGTTGATGTGCTGTTTTTTTTTTTTAACGTAAATTTTCCATAACGATTCTGGAAAACAGAGCTCGTGTTAGGATTGTTGGAGCGAGCACGAATGTAAAGGAATTTGGAAAAGCTTTATCACCGCCGTGTGTTATCGTGTTTTCTAGTTTAGATAACGAGAGATTAGGGTGGTCACTTTTTTTCGAGTCCGACGATTCCGAAAATTCCGATAACACTTATTTTTAAAGAAAGCCAAAAGTGCGTTAAGAAAGTTGGACTTGAAACTTGTACTTGTGTACTTTTGTCACTCACACAACTTTTCCAAAGAATTTTAGAGACCCTAAGCAACTAAATTTTCTTTTCTTTTACAAATATTAGCTCTTTTTAATTGAAGCTTGTTAAAAGGATAAGACACCTGGATACACTTTTCAAAAAACTATATGGGCTACATTTCAAGATTCAAAATAATGGAGAAAGCAAGAAATTTCATTGGAAATAAAAACGATCCATTCGCAAAATATGTACAAAATTTATTGCAACTTCAAATGTTTTTATTTACATATGTACAAACCTGCATGCCGCAGAAAAATTTATTCATCATATACCAAAAGCTTCTTCGAAATCTTCTTCTGAAATCTGTGAATGCAAAATTGCATAAAATTATTATTGAAATTACAGCAGGAACGTATATACACATACATTTTTATCTAACACCTTACCTTCTTTTTCTTATATTTCTTCAACAACGCAATATCGTTGGCCAACTCTTGAACCTCTTCTTCGCTCAACTTATTCTGACGCTTTCGCTTTCCAGCTCCGCTTTCCATGCGCTTGCTTTGCTTGCTCTTGCGCCTAGTTTTTCTATCTTTCCGCTCTTGCCTCATTCCTTTGGCCACGGACCAGGCCTCATTTTCTTTCATTTTTTTCTTCTCTCTCGTAGGCCAAACTCCCGTTTTTTGATACTCACTCAGTTTTTGTAACCGAGCGGTCTCTCTTTGTTTGTTCTTATAAGCCAGCGCATTAACGTCAATGTCTACTCCCTCGAACGACGATAAGTCTCGTCCTTTGGCTTCTGGCATACGAGGAGCTTTCAGTAAGCCAAATCCCATGAAGAGCTGGCCCAAATCCATATCTTTAAGGCGTAAAATCAAATTGCACTCGTGCTTTTGATACGCTTGCACGTGCGACACGACGGCACGATTCGCTTTATCAAACACGAGCCTGTCGTTTTGCTGGAGCTTCCTCATGCACTTTAGGCACTTTTCGACAAAATTCTGATTCAAATCCATCTTGAGCTGTTGCAAATCTACTTTTTGATTTCTTTTCAAGAAGTCGATGTAAGCGTCCTCCATTTCTGACAACAGCAGCAGAGCATTGCCCTCGTTTCCTATTCTTGCAGTCCTCCCACATCTGAAATACATTTTCCATGAAACAAAGTGCACAAAAATGTCAAGGCAATCAACCACATTGTTACACACAAACCTGTGAACAAAACTACTTGCGGTGGCTGGTGCATCGAACTGAATGACCCAGTCGACTTCCGGAATATCTATTCCTCGAGCCATTACATCCGTGCATATCAAAATGCCACTTTCAAGAGCGTGAAACTCGTCAAATATCTTGTGCCGCTTGCTTTTCATCTTGCCATGTAAGGCCAAAACTTTTGTGGCAGTTAACATCCTGAAAATAAATGACATGAGCGTGTGTCGTGTTTTATTTCTTGATAACATTAAATTTTGATGTACTTACGTTTTTATAACATCGCTGAAGTAATCAACACACGCACAAGTGGAAAAGAAAATCATGTATTTATACTTTGTTCCCTTTTGTTTGATTAAATTAATGATGAACGCTATCTTTTTGTCGGGATCGACTATCGAATAGTAGTTGTTTAGAGTCGACGGAGTAGACACATTCTCCGTCTCCTTAATGGTCACGCACTCAGGGTTCCTCAATCCAGCTCTGATCAATTGTTTCACCTCTTTGGTCTGGGTAGCGGAAAATAAGCCTGTTCTCCTTAAACGGGGCAAAAAACCGAGGATTGTGTTAATCGTTGTACTGAAACCCAAATCTAACAGCCTGTCTGCCTCGTCCAAGACTAATAGCTCCTAAAATGTAAATTAATGTTAAAATCCCCCATGATGAGTATACCAATGCACTGAAATAAATTACCAAAGATTTAACAGCTGTAGTTAAATTAATTTCTTTGCAATTGGTCAAAAGATCCTCCAATCTTCCTGGTGTGGCCACTATGATATTTGCGCCTTCCCTTATTTTGTCAACGTCTTCTTTGATGGCGTTACCCCCAACCAACAGCACCTGTTTCAAGGTCGGTATGTTGCTAAGAAACTGCCCAAGGACTTTGCTGATTTGTGTTGCCAATTCCCTTGTTGGCGAAATAATGACTCCTCCGATTTCGAATTTCTTCCACTTCTCTTCTCTTTTCTAGGGTTTATCATTTTTTTAAATTTTCTTATATCAATAAAAAAACGTAAGGCACACGAAAATAAAATGCAAATACCTGCATCAGCTCCAGCATTGGGATGACAAAGGCCAGAGTCTTTCCACTTCCCGTGACGGCTTCGGCTGCAACGTCCCTCCCGGTCAACAGAAGGGGTATACTGGCAGCCTGTGCAAGAAAAATTTCTATTCTACTTGTTCCGAGGTCGATTGTCTTTTGAAAACAAAAGAAACGAAAATAAAACAAAAAAAACGACTGTTACCTGCACTGGTGTCATTGAATCGAATTTCAACTCTTTCAACGTTTTAAGAACGGCGTCGCTCAACTCGATCGCCAGATCCTCCCACTTGTTGAACTTCATGTTGAAATTGTTTTAAAAATCAAGTCCTGCCGAAGTTTTTTAGTTTGTTGTCAAATGTTACCGCAATCCGCATGTCTTTTGCAGGTATAATCGTGTAATACAGGTCCGCACGTGCACTGCATCAAGGAACATATTGGGATCGGCCCCGTAGCACTAGCGCCACTGGCCTAGGTTAATCTCCGTAAAGTGGCGAGTTTCAAAAATGGGGAGAGAAGGCTCGTTACTATGAGCGTCACCAGCTTTTCTATCCTTACAACTTGTGGCGCGATTCCGAAGTTTCGAGAGAAGGCTCTCAAGGGCCAATCCCAATAGGATAGGTTACACACGTTATTCAAGCGTCTTGTATATTTATACCTTTAATCACGTGGTCGTACAAGCATGCTACAAGCAGCGCATTTGAAATTTGTTTTTTCTCGTCGCACTACTGTCGCAGGCCGGGCCGAACGTCACTGTTCGTGCTTAAAGTGTAAGATATTTGTAAATTTACTTACTTAGTTTCGTTAGGGCTAGCGTGTAACGTTAACCATGTAGAAATCAGTAACATCTTTCGACTCTCTTGTGACACACCACTTACTCTCAAGTTCAAATTCCGTTTCGAGTAAGAAAAACATAATAGTCTGTGAAGAAGAGTCATGGACTCGGCAGCGAGTACAAGCTATCAGTACATTAAGGAAGAGATGTCATCGGCGATATCAAGCTCTGGATCTGGTAGCGAGAGCCAAATAACGCTGTGCATTTCAGGGGATTCTGACACTGATGATGTCAACTTCACCGTGAGCCTACCTGAGGAATTGCTCCCTGTTGGAAAAGTGGAGAATCTCGAGGATGATAATAATGCTGCTGAGGTTTGCCTTGTTTAACTTTATTTCTTTATTGAATTTCATGAGAAGTTTTAAGTTCAAAGTTTTAACATGCATGCCATTGATTGTACATTGCAAGAATTTTTGTTAGTTGTTACTTGCTTTCTGTAATTTTTCCATCAACAAATTGCTGTACACGTTCAAAAAATATTGTCACTTACGATTTTCTATACTTTCCAGGAGATCGCTGCAAGTTTTAATGATAGTCCATCCGACTTGTATGTTTACAATTTGAATGCTGAGGTATTGTAAAAATATTAAGTTGATCATATCGAATTATAATCATTAAAATCACCTGTAAAATTTTGTATTAGGGAGATGTAGTGAAGGGAGTTTTAAGAAATTATGATGATAATGACGTTCAGAGTCAAAGTAACAATTCGAGCAGCGATGAAATAGTAAGGAGTACCAAAAGATTGAGAAGAATCAGTACATCCTCGGGTTCTTTGACGGATCCCGATCAACCGGTTGCTTTAAACATCTCAAAGAGAGGTAATCTGTTCAAAATTAAAATTTTTTCTAGATTTTAGCTAAAGTTACTTTCATTCCAGATCAAAACTATAATTTAAAGAAGCGTTTGAAAGCACTTTCTTTCAAATTTCGCAAACATCAAGATTTTTATGACTTGTTTAAAAGATTTCCAGACAAAATTCTGAAGTATTTAAATAGACTACAGAAAAAAGAAAATGACAATAAATTAATAATTAAAAAACTCATGGTATATGGAGAGTCCTTAGATTTAAATGGGAAGAATGTGATTTCTCATGAAGGTATTATGCGTTTCAAATATTGTTTTGGTTACTTAATTAAAATTCTTACTTATTTTTAATATCAAATTTGCAGCAAGAACAACCCGATCATGTTTACCACCACAGTTCTCAATCGAAGAATTAAGAAATTTAAATCGGAGAATGTGATATGTACCCATTTATGTAAATAGTTAAATAATTTATTGTAAATACTTGGAGGTTAATGAAACACATTTAACTTAGTCTTCAATGGATTTATTTGATTTTTTTTTTTTTTTATTTCTCCTCCATATAAAAGTTGAATAATGCCACTCAATGTGCTTCAGTTTGTTGTTTTATTCTTTTACTTCATTATTTTATGTACACGGTTGAGTTCTTGAGGCCATAAAAGTTTCATCTCATTCATTTAACGGATATCATGAACACCAGCCATGATTGTTAGATTGCACTATGCAGATTGCAAGTTTTGGAGATACTTGTGAAACCATTGATGTTTGTTTCATTCCTCTACAATAGGTTCGCATCTAAATTTCGCACATTTTACAAAGAAGAGAAATAAAAAGGAGCTGTAAAAATTTCGCAAAAGCTACGGTTTGTTGTTTCTTTTTCATTGCGTTTAACAGGTATGGCTTGGTATAAGAACAAGTAGTTTCGTTTTGATTTAACGTATTGCATTTTACGAACAAAGAACCAGATTTCAGATTTATTATATAAAAATTCAAAGTTCTAACTCTTGGATCTAGAAAAATTTCAGATTAAGTTTTTTTTTCTTTCTTTCTTTGATTTTTTTTTTTTTTTTTTCTCAATATCGCGTTTCACATACCGCGCGCTGTATAAAAGCATCACATATTTCAAGCATGAAGACAACTTCCGAAGAATAACTTATAGTTTTTGCAGTTTCCTCGCAAGCTGCGCTTTAAAGCTTTCTACTCCTCCGTTGTATCTCTCGACGTTATCAAACACTCTTAATAACTCGAAACAGCGATATCTTATTTTGGGAATATTATAGCGATTGAACAGAAAATACGGGCATCGAAGTTCTCGGTTACGAATTTTCTTTTTTTTTTCCCTTTTCTTTCTTAATAACAAAACTCATCAACAAATATAGGGCTGAAACACCGGTCGTACCCTATTATTCTCAGATAAATAACATCTCGACAACCATTTCATTTGGATGCTCGTAAATTCTTTCAAACATTTTCCACTCTGCTTCCTTGTCGCTTCATCTCTTTTTTTTTGTTCTCAAATCTAAAAGAAAGGGCTCTCTCTATCACCCTTTCAAGTTAAATTTGCCCAATGTCTCTCACACGTGAAACAATTTCTCTAATTCCATTCAGCTAAAAAATTGTCCTTTTCATTCCGTGTGCACAAAAAGCTCTCCGCACCGTGTCTTGTACTCGTAAAATTTTGATCATTCAATTTTTTCTAAAGGACATTTAGAACATCGCCATGATCAAAACTTTATCACCCCCCCCCCGTGCTCCTATTTATTTTACGTCGCATTGTACAGTGAAAACGTCACTTCATCAGCACACGTTTCCTATTCTCCTCTCACAATACCAACGACTGGCTTATACCTGACTTTGGTACTTTAATCATTCCGCGTTTAAGTTCAGGGTTTTTTTTTTGCACGCACAACGTATACATATCATTTAACCCTCTCTATAAGTTTATCTCATCATTCACCACTCACTCTCACCTTTCAGCACATTTTAAGCATGTATGAATAATCATAGTTCGTTACTCAATCCCAGAGAAAAAAAAATAAATAAAGAACGGTAACGCCTGTTTTCGGCTTTAAACTCCTTTCGATGCAACCATCTCCGAAAGTTGCGGAGCGCCAAGCGATTTTTGTAACATTTCAACGTTTTTTCATCGCAAAAAAGTTACTTTCAAAATTACTGAGCTCTTGTATACAAGGTGTTACTTCTTTTCTTTCTTGTTTGTATTTTTTAAAATTGTTGGAAAAAAAAAAAAAAAAAAATTAAACATTCTATTACGACGCAAAATGCTCTTAGATCGACAATCGATATGTATATGCATTATGTTGCGAGTGAATGAAAGTTCTGGCGTATCGCATGCAAAACAGAAAAAAAAAGTAATAACAAAAGTAAGTATTGTGGAGGACTAACAAAAAGAAGAAAAAAATAAAAATAAAAATAAATAAAAATGCGTGGATCAGTAAAATTTGCTAGACCGTTGCCGCCATGTCCTAATGAAATATGGGACTTGGGGGCGATTATTTTTCATTTCTCTTGCACTTTTCTGCTGGCGTTATTATCAAGTTTTTTCACTTTGTATAAACTTTTATTATTGTTTTTGTCGTTGTAGTGTTTATGTCTGTTATCTCTTCTAAACCCCTGCACGTGATTCCGCCTAATGCCCGACTCACCACCGTTGAATCGTGACGACTTCGGAGACCATGCTCCGATACTTGATGCTGCCGCTGCTTGTGGAGCAAACATTGTTTGCGCCACGTCGAATCCCGCATTTAAGCTAATCGGCTGCGATTGCTGTTCCATTGCTGATAATGCGGCGGCGGCGGCGGCTGCTGTTGATTCTGTTGGTGATGTCTGACGGGGTGACGGGCGCGGAACTATTGCGGGTTGTGCGGCAGAATCACGGGGATCGTGGATTGCTGAGAAGGCCCACCCGGGGGAGGCGCCTGTTGCTGGATGTACTGCATATGTTGTGGGGGCAATGGTATATGCGGCGGAATGACCGGGCACATAATGGGATACCCAGCCGGTCCATGGCTCTGGAGTGGCGGTTGGGGATACGAGGGTTGGGGCGTGCCTGAAATTTCACGGAGTATCGTTTTAACTTTATTTTCTTCATAACTGTAATTGTTGCTTGTGTATGGTGACGTGCTGATAAGATAAATTTTTTAAAAACGTGCATGCTTCAACGATTAATTTGCAGGGCACACTGTTTGCTTAGTATCCTCACTGCTGGCAAAGTGATGGAACATGGCCAAAGCTCTACCACTCTGTGTAAGCGTTTGTTTGAACGAGCAAAAAAATCAAATGGCAAAAATTGAAAGCAGCATCAATACAAAGTTTGTTAGTTTGCATTCATTTCGATAACCAATATCGTGCAGTATGAAATGAACGCCTACATAGCCAAAAAAAAAAAAAAATTATTGTAAAACTCGCGAAAATTTGGCATAAAAATGGATATGATGGTAAAAGTAAAAAAAAAAAAAAAAGTAAGCAAAAAGGAATCGATACACACATGTCTATCTCTACAGTTGAAGTCTTACTTGAAGTCTGTTGGTACTGTGACGTGTGCGAGGGATTGGGGTTGGCAGGCGAGGGCGCCTGGCTCGGCTGTTGCTGTCCAGGCACGGCGTGTGGATGATGCGGATGCGGATTCATGTACTGAATGGCACCCGGCGTGTGTGGTCCAGCTTGCGTTTCATGGTGATGCTGGTACGGGTTGGCAGTCATGTGTGGCGGCGGTGGCGGTGCCGGGGCCGGCACCATGCGCAGCATCTGGCCGTAGGCCGGTTGGCCCGAGTATGGTATTTGGAAGGGTCCAGCCGCCGGGTGCATTGGGGCTGGGGCTAGCAGGGGCTGGCCCGTTGCCGCGGCCACTTGCATTTGCGAGGATACGTCGGGTGCTCGTTGGTGCATCATAGGCACTGTAAATTGATGATATTCTGTTGAATTGAAGGACAACAGCAAAAATGTAGTTAGATGATTATAAAGATCAATATCATATTTATATAAATATATTGTTCTATTACTAAGAGCAAAAAGATTTTGTAAATTTTAATTAAAGTTGGTTGTAAAATTGTGATTATCAAAACAGTAAAGTTAACAATTAAAATATGCTGATAAGAAACTTGAAAGATTGTTGACTGTTAAAAGTAATAGGATACAAAAAAAAAATTGTGAACTGTACCTATATATTGACCCTTTCGGTAACCACCTCTTTGGATGGCTTGATTCGGTGCTTGCGCGAAGGCTGTTGGCTGGTGGTTAGGCATTAAAAATGGAACAACAACAGCAGACTGCATGGGCGTAGCGTACTGCGGTGTCTGAGGCGTGTGCGGCCTGCTGGGATTTGGTGTACTGGGTGATCGCTGTAAAAAAAAAAAAAAAAAAAAAAAAATTATACAAGTTTAAGTCAATTTCTTTCACAGCAACATTTTCCATTAATCAAACGTAACTGAGATACTAACGGGTGTAAAAGCTTTTGCATTAGGGTTGAATTCCTTGGCATTGGGATTAAGTGTGGATTTCTTGAAGGAAGCGGTTAGTTTATCAACGGTAGGTTCAGACTGCGTCAATTGAATAGGAGGGGTTGGTTGTGGAGTTTGCGGCTGAGACGGAGGCGATGTCTGCTGCGAAGAAGCTGGAGTTTGTGACTGCGGAGGCTGAGGTGGAACCACCTGCTGAGGTGGTGATTGCTGTTGGGGTGGGCTTGCTGTTTGTGGTGGCATTGGCCCAGGTGGAGATTTGTTTGGACCAGCCATGTCAACTTTGACTGGCGGTTGTTGTTGCTGCTGCTGCTGTTGTTGTTGTTGTTGCTGTTGGGGCGGTGGTTGCTGAGCCTGTTGTCCGTGCTGAGGAACCTTTTGGGATCAAATAATTTTTTTTAAAGAAAAATCTATTTTGACACATTTGTCAATTGACTGATGTATCAATAATTTAATTGAAGTGATGAAATAAATGTTTAAGAAAATGAATTCACAAAATCAAGAGTTTAATAATACCTTTTTCAAATAAAAATGTCAAACAATAACTTGCGTGTTCATATTTGCATTAACTTAAACTGTATTGTTTTGTTAACATGTGCTCATGTTCAATAAAACGATATTCAATTACAAAAGAAGGTTACTTGATTATTACTTATGTACTTTAAGAATATACATCAATAACTAGTGTTATTTGATGGCTGGATACAATGAAAACTGATCATGTATTTTTACACAAGTAAAAGCAACAGTGACTTGCACATATTAGTTATGTGAGCTTCTATTTTTGAAGGTATGTATATGTTACAAGGTTTCAGACACAACACAAACACTTATAAAAAGAAACAAAAAAAAAGAGTAGAAAAATTTATTACTTATTATTTACATGCTCTTTTTAAAAAAAGTTATCCTTATCACATAATTTTTTCTCCAAAGTTTCGAAATTCCATAGCTCAAAATTCAGAGCACAATGATTAAGCGTTAAATTAATGCAAATATTCAATTAAATTAAAAATCATGCAAAACTTGTGCATAACTAAATTTTTCTCAAAATGTTCAACATTTGAAAAAACTAACATCATTTGAGTTAATAAGCAAAAAAAGAAAAGAAAACTAAAATTCTAATAGTTAATAAGTATCAATAATAAATATATTTTTAATAATATCTTCGTTTACGGACTCTTTTAGGTTTTGGCTCCCATGGAAATGACGCATTGTTTACTGGTAACTAAAAATAACAATAAAAAAAATGTATAAAAAAACGTAAATGGAACGTGAGAAATGACGTTTCAATAAAAGGATTAGTTCCCCACCACAGCCCATTAAGTTTAAGGAACACAGTTTTTTTTTGTTCCTTCCAATACAGGGTCATTGATGACAAAAAAATGTTAAAAAGCTAAAGGAACTGATCCTTTCACCGATTCTAAACAGCAACAAAAACAGCGAGCAGCTTACCATGTTTGCAGGTTGAAGATGCGGTTCCTGCTGCTGCTGGTGTGGTGGCTTTCTCCCGAGCAAAGAAGCCGGTGGCTGCTGTTGGCCAGACTCCTGTCCGGACTGCTGTGGCTCGGCCAGCTTGAAGTCCGTGGCGAACTGGCGCAGCTCCGAGTGCTGGTCCTCCCTGCTCCTGGGCGTGGGTGCCTTCCTGTGCAGATCTTTCGAGACGATCGGCGTGGCCGGTGGTCCGTCGACCGAGATGGACTGCGTTAGCGGGGCGCCTGTGAGTTGGGACGATTGACCGTGGCCCGGCTGCTGAGACGATGGCAGCACGGGCACGTGGGCCGACGATTGTTGTTGCGGGGGCAGGGAGGACGGCGGTGGCTGTTGTGACGGGACTGGCGATGGGTGCACAGGGACCACATGGGCCCCGGAGAACGGCGCTGGCGGGGCCTTGTCCGACTGGTAGACCTGCTGTCTTCCGGGCCGCTCGCGTTTCTCCAAGCCCATCTTGCTGGACATTGGAGGTGGAGGCTGCTGCTGCTGACTCGTGAACGGCATGCTAGGCTGGCCTTGAGCTTGCGACATAACTGCAACAAGGTTTTTCAATATATCAGTCTGCGAAGCTTGGATACATGTTGGGCTTTTAGGAAAGCAACGCTGTGTTTTCGTTTTAGTATGCTATGATAGTGTAATGTAAGAGAAAATCATCCAATTAGATACCATATTCGAATAACTCGAGGGTGTAAGAAATTGACAGTGATCCTCGTACTTAAGTCTGATGAGGCTCGCACAAATGGTCAGTGAGATATTATGTATATATTATATTTATTATAATCATTGATCAAGGACGTTTTCTAAATTTTATCGGAAGGTACTGTTGAATTTTTAAGTGACAGTAATTTGTTGACAATGGCTTTGTTGCACTTTACTTAGTTTTACTTCAAGATTTGTATGACTCATTTCTCTCTAAAGGAACATTAGTTTGATTTTCTAGGGGTATTAAAAAAAAAACTATTACTTTGGTTGAATCATGTACTTGTATGTTAAAAAAAAAATCGTAAAAAGTTCCTTTTTATATTTGAAGTTATCGTTTCGTCTGTGCATTAATTGACTTAAAAAATATTATCAAGAAGTTTTTCACGTAGACTGAGGATATTTGAAGACGGTCTGAAGTTTAATTGTGAGTACTCAAGTTTTTGTTACAATACGAAAACATTTTTTTCAACGAAATAATTTTTCTTAAACTCCAAGTTTTTGTATTGGTAATCATTGGTAAAATAAAATCTGAGCTCACTGTAATATATTCTTGGGAGTCCAACCACCAATGAAATAATCATGCAATAACTTAGTAAGAAAAGACCAAAGGGTTTTATTTTTCCAAAGTTGAAGAAAAACTTTTTTTTGCTCCCATAGTATAAACTTAATGTGTAAGTCAATCAACAACATATTTATTTATTACATCACAAAATAAAATTCGTGAAATGTAAATAAAATAAGAAAGTTAAGAAGCAAAATATATTTTCAGCTGCAATGAGGAAAAGGATTACACGAACATTAATTGACCAAAGTTGGTCAACAGAATCATGGAATATACCTATTATAACGTAACTAAAAGTAACTTTAAATATGAGATTTATGAATCATGGATCACTATGATGGAATTTCATGTACAATCGGTTATTATGAAATCTTACATAACTCACCGAGATTTGAAACTCGTAAACAATTTAACGTAATTGAATACAAGCTTTCCAGTAATGCATTTAAAATTGAAATTTAACTATAGTGAAAAACGACAAGCTTCAAATGAAGGAGAAAGCTTGCATTGTCATTTTCCAATAACAAAATTTGCCATTGGTGCTTGAAAATATTTTGCTTTGAGTTCCTAATGTTTATATGATCTCTTAATAAGCTTGTTAGAAAATTCTTATACACAAATGAATAGACAAATAACTAACTACTAATGATAACAAAGGTGTATTTTCATTTCAACGATTGTCGCCAGTGTCGAGCAAAGAATTGACATTGACGTCAGTAAGCTGCTATTTTGCAAACTTGACCATAAACATGACACTGGAGTCAAGCATCGGCAGGAAAAGGCAGCTTTGATACCACCAAGACGACAAATAAATAAAATTTTGGGTCAACGTACACTTACCGGGGACGCTGGACTGTGAGGACTGCGAGGCCTGTGGAGCGGGCTGGAAGGGTGGAGGCGGCGTATTATACGTGACGACGACTCCACTGGGCATTCCACTGGGTATACCCGCGACGTTGAGCGGCACTGGTTGGTGCGGTTGCGTTGGTACAATTGGTGGTGCATGCGACGACGAGGACGAAGACGACGAGGACATGCCACTACTGCTAGCTGATGATGGAATGTTGCTTTGGGGAGGAACATTGACCGGGGTCGCATTGGCTGGAGGCGGGGCCTGATTGTATTTTGAGGTGGGGGGTACCGTTGCTGGCCCGGGAGAAGCTGGCGGCGGCGTCGTACGCATCAGCTTACGAGTGTCGCCAGGCCTTCTCTTCGGTGGCGGCACGTATTTGTCAGCCATTGACGAACCACTGTTGCTCAAGCCACTGTTGTTTATCTCACTGTTATTTGAACGCTGTTTAAGAGAATGTTGGATTAGTATGCTTAAAGATTTTTTTCTTTAAAAAAGAAAAAAAAAAAAAGAAAAAAAGGTTAAAGTGATCGAGCAATTGAGCAAGTTTTAAAGAGTTTCCGTCAAAATTACCTGGACTCAATTGAAGGGACAATTAATAGAACTACTTTTTAAAATATCCTTAATCATCCCTGATAGTCCTGATTAGTAATTTCAAATCTTATATATTTCCTTTTTTTTTTTAGTATTCAATAATTCTTATAGCTAATCTTCTTGGGAGTAAAAAAGTACGCTCGGTACCAAAAGATAATGAAAACTTGTTCGTCTGCTTCGAAGGAGTGCTATTTGAACACGTTTCGTAAACATAATGATCATATTACGTGGCTTGAGTCCCTGGGATCCTCCCGAGGACGGACGACGGCTGAGAATTTATCTTCCTCGTCACCATTTTCGAGTTCTGCGCGAACCCTGTGTTCTGGCTGAGATTCTATTTCGTTAGCAATCTCAGCAGCCTTTTTCTCTTGCTCCTTGTAGTCCTTTGTGTCCTTCCGCTGGAGCGTTGTCGTGTACTGGCTCAAATTAGGCTCAAACGTAGTCATGACTCCAAACGTTTCTTCGTTTTTGCGGAACATATCATCAGCATCCCAGCCATTCTGTGGAAGTTGGAAATGAGGGTTTAACAAAGAGTGTGACAGTTTGTTGTATAGTTAACGAGAAGAAAACAAATTTACCGCCGTACGATCCAACTGAAAGTTAGCTCCATTGGGTGTACCACACTCTTCCCAAGGCTGGAGCTCTTTATCTCCCTTAACTACACCGTTAAACTTACTAATAGCTGTGTCTGTCTGGAATGTATCTCTGGTTGCGTAGTCCAGGTCGACATCTTTCGCTGTCACCATTACGATATCTTGTGGCTTAAAAATTAATTTCTCTACAACTTCGTTTGCGTTTATTTTATCATCGTTTGAGGCACGGTGAGCCATTTCCAACACCAACTCAAATTGACTAGAGAAAGTTCTAAATACACCCTCATATATTGAACCATTTAATGTTTGAATCTGCAATGAAAAATGGTTACATTATGGTTGACAGTTGGCGTAAAATTTGTTGATAAAGTAGTTCACAATTACCTGTACAATATTGCCTACATGACTTGTGATTGCATGCATGAAGTGTCCATTATTGTACACTCCATCTGCCACGATGGAGGTCGAACCTCGTCCCCGGGGGGATGATCTGTAACACGTTTGTAAAATTTCTTAGTTGTTGAAACTCTTTGCTCTTATGGCCATTACTATCATTCTTTTCATGCACCACTTAATTAATTCATTTTCTGTGCATTTACTATTCGTGACCCATTTTCATTTCAAGACTAAATGTATAATAGTTCACCCTCAAATAAAATTTATCATATTGATCCGGTTTTTCATGTCTTTATCAAAACAACGAATATCTGATAGCAAACATGGATGTCACGTTGCACTCCAAAATTACATAATAATGAACGTGAGACATGAAATACCTAGAAGTGTTGGTGTTTGGGCGGTTCCTCTTCTTGCTGTTCATTTTGCTGTCGTAGTATCTCTCGTCACCAGAATTCGGTGGATGTCTCCCGCCGGTTTGAGGGGATCCTTCTGGTTTTTTTGTGGGGACCGGAATTTTGGCGACTTTTTCAGGGACTCGCCAAACGCAATATTAATAACAGAGCTTTCTCTCTGTGGCTCCTCTCTTTCCTTTCTTGCGCTTCTTCAACAGGCTTCCCTCGATGCCTTGGCCCTGCTCTATGCTGAAGTGTGTATTGCCAGTGCCAAGCCAAGTCTTACAACGAGACTCTTTTCCTTGCAGTCACTTCGAGCAAAGGGCCTTTCCTTTTCTGGCTCAAGACACACTAGTATTGCATGGACGAGAGCTGCAAAAACAAAAAAAAGAGGAATGAATCAGACTTGGTCAGTAATCTACTAGCCTTTCAAGGTCGTCCTCTCTATTGTGTAGAAAACAGCCCTTCCTGCAGTCAAACATTTGAAACGACCTATTTACCAAACTCCAACTCATTGGAATCAACTCCTCCCAGTGTCAATACAAAGAAAAGGGATGACAACTTTGAGAATCTTGTACAAAAACAAGATGTTAATACAGGTGCATATATGTACAACAGAAACACGAGCTTGTCGTCTGCACTGCAGCAGACAGACAGACGGACAGACAGACTGCATGCGTGCAAACATACATATGTATAGATGTATAGGAGAAAGAGAAAGACACGAAAGTACAGCAGAACAACGAGGAGTTTTAATATAAACAAAAATGGCATGCTATCACCAAAGCTGTTTGCTGCGGGAAGTCGTTCAGCAGGTCTCCCCATGGAGCGCGTGCTAGTTTGCATGGGTAGATTTACTGTACGAAAACCCACCTCGTTATCTCCCCGTGTGTGTAACCCAACCACCAAATATATGTGCCCCTAGAACGCGCCCATGACCCTCCTGGACAAGAGGGGCATGCGTGCAACGGTGTGTGTACGGAGAAAGAGAGAGAACGCGCGCGCCTTTCTCTCTTAATCTCAAAATATACGATGGGATCCTATAAGTAGGAAACACATTTATTTATAGGTGGAGTCTTGGGAGAGAGAAAGGGAGGTAGGCCATTTTAATACGCACCCGCACGCACCAGATAACGACAACGCTAATGAGGTGTGTTTGATAACAAGATAACGCACTAACGGGCAACGACCATAACAATGTATACCTTCACGCACTGTTCGCAGACGCAACGCACGTTTGATTGATTGTCTTCTGTACTACTGATTCATTTTTGCGATTATACACATACTACTTTCTTGTATTGTTTTTATTATTGGTAAGATGTCCCGTTGTCCGCAATGACGGAACTATATATATGTGCGCGAGGGGGTTTGTTTTACTGCACTCTGCCACTCTCCTTGTTGTAGCTGTAGGTACGCATGCATGCACACACGTAACACACTGCGCACCTCTCTCGTTCGTTTGCCTTGCTGACGGATGATGGCCTTTGGCTGCGCCCTAATGCTGGTTTGGCGCGTGACGTAACGTTTTCTCTTCTCGTAGACGAGCAGTACCTAACGTATATACACAGCTTGTGCTTAGGTTATACGTATTACTTAGCCCATGCTCTGATGTATATAAGTATCTACAATAGCTTCCTTTACGACACTCTCTCTATAATATTGCAGAGAGGGAAAATATAATTATGTGTGAACCCTTCGACACTTTTTGTATACTATACTTCATACATGTCATGAGTATGATGATCATGCCTGTTTGTTTTGATTCTTGCATATTTATGAGTAACTAACATGGCAAAGAAAGCGACTGCTCCGAAATGTGAGGCATTAGGTACATGCAAATTAATAAGTTGATTAGGTGAAGTGGGCGACTTTTAAATCAAAGGTTAAAAGATTTTATACTTTAGCGTAAAAGGGGCTACGGAAAATAGCGCGCGCGCGCGATGCACGAGACTCTCCTGTACACTTAACTCTTAACGAGAGGAAGAGTTGAAAAGAAAGCTCTCTGTGGTGTGTGCTTGTTGCTCTCTCGTGAAAGAGCGTTTTAAGTAGATCGTTTTGGAACACGAAAGATATCAGCGTTCATTTGTACATACATGCACTTAATGCATGGAACTTTTTAAATTTAGAGTATAATAAAAGGAAATTTTACAAGGAAAATGAAACTCGCGTGCCCGTTTGCTTGAGGTTGCGTGGACGCATGCTTTATTTGACCATCTTTGTATCGCAAATGGTAATCACACGTAACATGTCTTTTTGGACGTGCAAAAGTACATAATGTATGAATTTTAATGTGACAAGGTTACTCCGATACCAAGTCAATAACGTTAAAAGGATGTAGGTAATCAAGAATCGTGTGAAATGAGGTCGCAAAACAAACGCACAAGCCATAACCTCACCGTCGTTTTGATACACCCTCTCTCTCTCTCTCTCTCTCCACATGTGTGCTTTTGCGCATATGTTAATATGCCCCAAGGGGATACGAGTTTTTCTCTCTTCGGAAAGGCCGACAACTATATAATTTAAATACCGATCTTTTGCAAACTACATTTTCAATAATACGTGACTGTATGTGCAATATTTTAATTACAATGTACGTACCGTACGTATATATATATATATATATTTATGCTGCAACAGCATCAACAACAAGTTAGCGTCTGCTCTCCTCGGCGACGAGGTTGATCATTGACGTGGAAGAACTCGGCAGTAGCAGAAGCAGTGGAGGTGGCAGTGTACACGTTTCCTATACCTTAACAGTTCAGCAGCCCGCGCGAAATAGTGGGGCTGGGTGGGCGTCTATATATTTCGTACACCTAATCACTTATGATTCTCGTATGTATAACATGTAGTTATACTTCTGGCGCTTTCACCTCGACGACGGTGCAGACGTCGGTGAAAAAGCAGGCATGTGTGTCGTCCCGCGCGTACTACAAATATAATATGAGTAGTTATAACGGCGTAACAACGCGTCCAGAACGCGTCTGCTTGCCCCGCTTGTTGACTTCGCGTAGTTCACAGAAGTTTAAAAAAAATAAAAAGAACAGATCTACTTAGTTGAGCTAAAATATACTGAATAATTACGAATATTAAAAAACAAGACTCTCGTCAACAGCAGACTAGCCGAGCGAGCTGCTCCCAGCTCAGCAAAGAGTGCAGAGCATATATATATGTAATCAGTGATCCTCTTGTCCTCATACCTCTTGGTGATTTGTATGTTTTCCGGCCAGGTACATCAAAATGGTGGCCATCAGTGATATAAGGTTCGTTCGGAATTTGGTGACTTACGGCGGTCCGCGATAAAAAAAGAGAGCTGCACCGAGGAACGTCAAAAAATTAAACTAGCCGCTGCTCCGATCAGAATATCGAAGAACCTCATGGGTGCGGCGTGCGTTCCGTAAACTACATCAGTTTCTTCAAGTATCTCGGTATCCTAGATGACGTTCAAGTGCAAGGGGAAAGGTATAGCACAGTGAACTGTGCGAACGACTTGCATCCAGCAAAAAAAAAAAAAATACCAAAAATTGCGGAATCGTTTGCAGGTTTTGCAATTGCCATGCAAAAAATTGTCAGAGTATTATTTTTTTGTAAAAAAAATAAAATGTGGTACGTCCTGCGAGAATCTAATAAAACTATTATTTCGCCTCAACGGTAGAGTTTCTACTATTAAAATTATCACCAGTCGTTTGCAATTTAATTTCCAGTGCGTGTGAGGATCGCAAAATAGTCGAATTAGTTATATTTATTGAATAAATAATTATATTTATATACGAGAGTAAGTCGAGTCATCTTACTCCCACCCCAGGCCAGGGCGCATGCGCACTACACTCGAAATTCGAAATACCAGCGATGGGATATAGTTCCGGCCAGATTTGGGAATTCTCTAGGACCCAACCTCTCTGAAGTGGGAAATCACTAGATCAAAAAAAAAATAGTACCGAAGGTGACGCGCGAGATTCAAATAAGGTCCAATAACACAAGCATCCATCACCTGATGAACCAGTGTGCTTACTGGACTCTGTTAAATAAATAATTATTAATAACACAAGCGCCTATCACCGTATAACCTGAGGCGCTAATTCCAAATCTAGTAAATAAATAATTATTCAGAAATATGTTAAGCACCTTTTTCCTGATGATCCAGGACACTTGTTTGCAACACTATTAAATAATAAAAAGTTGATCGATAACATATTAACCATATCACAATTTTGATTGCCTATCTAGTACGACAAAGATCTTTTTAATTGGCGCTCTTGTAATTACTTGATAATTTATTATTCAATAGTAGCCAGTAAGCGCCTTGGGTCATCAGGTGATAGGCGCTTGTGTTATTAATAATTATTTATTTAACAGTGGCCAGTAAGCACACTGGTTCATCAGGTGATGGATGCTTGTGTTATTGGACCTTATTTGAATCTCGCGCGTCACCTTCGGTACTATTTTTTTTTTGATCTAGTGATTTCCCACTTCAGAGAGGTTGGGTCCTAGAGAATTCCCAAATCTGGCCGGAACTATATCCCATCGCTGGTATTTCGAATTTCGAGTGTAGTGCGCATGCGCCCTGGCCTGGGGTGGGAGTAAGATGACTCGACTTACTCTCGTATATAAATATAATTATTTATTCAATAAATATAACTAATTCGACTATTTTGCGATCCTCACACGCACTGGCAATTAAATTGCAAACGACTGGTGATAATTTTAATAGTAGAAACTCTACCGTTGAGGCGAAATAATAGTTTTATTAGATTCTCGCAGGACGTACTACATTTTATTTTTTTTACAAAAAAATAATACTCTGACAATTTTTTGCATGGCAATTGCAAAACCTGCAAACGATTCCGCAATTTTTGGTATTTTTTTTTTTTTTGCTGGATGCAAGTCGTTCGCACAGTTCACTGTGCTGAAAGGTATGACATGTTGGAGCTGTTCACATAGACATTTTTTGCTTAATTCAATGTGAACGTTCATATTGAAAAGGGGGTTCCACTGTTCCGCTAAACTCAAATTGAGTGAACAGACTGAACAGACCGATACCGCTTTTTCCATCAGGCAACAAAGCCTATGGTCGCAACTATGTTGACTGACAGAGATCACAGTATAGGTCTGTTCAGTCTGTTCACTCACTTTGAGTTTAGCGGAACAGTGAAACCCCCTTTTCAATATGAACGTTCACAATGAAATAAGCAAAAAATGTCTATGTGAATAGCTCCAACATAGGCCCACGAAGCGAGAAAAAGTTATATGGTACGGCCCCTGATATGAGAAGCCCGAGCCCAAAAGTCAAACATTTAAACCAGCCGCCGTTCTGATCATTATTAAGATACTTTAAGGTCCGGAGATTTGAGATATTTTTTTCATATTTTATAAAAGTTGTGTGGATATTAATCAAGTACCACGTGGTAAATATTATAAACCAGCCGCAATCGAAACTTAACGATGAAAATTAAAGAGTTGATGTACCCACAACTGACCTCCGATGAATGGACACTCCCTTCCCATATAAAAGCAAAAACAGCCGCAACTCTGCTATTTGGTTTTTTACAATAATTTATAACAATAACCATAGTTACGGCTGTTTTCGGATTTATTAAGGGGAGAAAATAACCGTCTATTTAAACTCCAAAATTATAGACAATACATTTCTAGATAAGATAAGCTTTAGTTGACTGGGGCAAAAAAGTCATTTTTTCCCCTTTATTGAATTCGAAAATTGCTGCAACTAGAGTTACAGTCGTAAGTTATTGTAAAAAGCTAACTGGCAAAGTTGTGGCTGGTTTTGCTTTTGCGTTTGTGTGTGGGGGATAGGTCCATTTTTTGGAGGTCTGTTTTCGGATAGGGGATAAGTTCTAATTTCACCACAAATACTTACATCCCTGGTAACGTCCCATTCCTCATCTGTTAATTTAGGTTCCGGCTGGTTTATAGAACTAATCACATTACAATATTAAAATATCCACATAACCCTTTACTAGAATGAAGTAGGTATGACAATAAAATTGTAGATCACTACGGCCAAAGGGTTTATTAATTGCTGTTATGAATGCGGCTGGTTTAAATTTTTGACGATTAGTAGGATAGAATTAGCTTTTTGAAAAATTAAAATGCTATTAGCGCGAAAAAAATCATGGTGATAGTTTTTCGGTTTCAGAACAAATCTAAATAGTTTCAGACTCCAAATTGTGTCAGCTAACGGCCCAAAAAAAATGGTAAATGTGGTCAAAAATGGTTTTTCGTGTCTAGAAAAAAACTGGAGAGTCGGACCAAAAAGTTGTACCGTTGAAAAAGATGCGCATTTTCAAAAAGAAAATGATCTTCAGGGGAATAAAATTGGCCCCAGCCGTTTTTTCGCAATTTGCCAAAAAGTGCTCTTTTGGACCGTTTTTTTTTTTAAATCTATAACTTACGTTCGTTTGAATATTAAGACTTGAAAATTGAATACAAAGTAGATCTTGTGCCCCTTAATATCCACACTAAATTTCGACAAGATCGGTTGTAAACTTTTTGCAAACCGCTGCAAGAAACAAAAAATGGTCCCTTCGCAAAAAAGTTGGACGTGGCTGGTTTTTCAACATATTGCCATTTTTCAAACGGCATTGTACTCGGCTATGAGTGAGTATAATATATATATAAGTATTATACACAAGTATATTCGTCCACGCAAAACAGTTTCTGGGCCACTGCATATATTCGGTCCCCCCTCACCGCTCTCTAGTTTCACCTTGCTAACTGTGATGAACTAATTGACCGTGTGTTCGCACATGTAAACAAAAGTTAATCAGCTAGTCACGTTTTAGCAGCTTTGAGCGCTTTGAAGTCCTCACACAGACAGTTTGTTAAGTCGCACTGCATGGTAAACTGCACTGACTGTGATACGGTACGATTTGGTACGAACAAGGTACACCCGGATGGCTAAATCAAACGCAATCATTGTAGTGTTGTCGTTTACACTAACATAACCTCATAATAAGTAATAATTAACTCATCAATAGTATTCAATGCGATGATAAACAAATTGGAAATTAAAATCAGGGAGTGGTTGGTTAAGCCCAAGCTCGGCTGCCAAGATCAAACTGGTCCGAGTTTGGAAGTGGAACGGCGGACTGGTCAAGACACAAATTGGTCTAACTTGGTCCTGTTAATTTTTTAAGACGATTTTGTACCAGATTTTTGAAGTATACAATGGGTACGTTTTTTTGTAGTCGGTCGGTCCGATTTCTCTAGAATATAAGTCTGTACCTATACACAGTGAGTATAGGTATACTTTCTTGAGGAATTGGACCGATCGACCGACCGACTACAAAAAAAACATACCCATTATGTTTTGTTTCTGAGGGTTTTGAATATCATTTTTTTTTTTTTTTTTTTTTTTTTTTTTTTTTTTTTTTAAAAAAGTTTTTTTTTTTTTTTTTTTTTTCTGTCTCGTTGGTGCCCCTATAAGTAAATTTTAAGGAATATATATATATAGCAATGTACATACTTTCAAGTTTTTCCAGGACATTGACAGTCCGAACGATCAACTTGACGCAGTGGAAGCATACGTCTTGGCGGAAGACGAACGTGTAATTGACATGGTATTCCTCTTTCATGTCGACGCAGTATCCCCTGCTGGTCATGGTTTCGGCGTTGATTTCGGTCAAAGTGGGCTGTCCGTTTTCCCACGATGACCAAGCGCCCCTTATTATCAGGGGAATTTGGCACGTTTCTTGGGCGCTCGGGCCAACTGGAGACACGATCAAATTAATTCGACACAATTACTCATCTCTCGAGCTCATATTCGTAAAATAAACGATGCTTGGTGTAGTTGAGGAAAAATACCTGCCCCAAAGTTTTTTCGATAAAACAATACACGGAATTGGGAGAGATCTAGTAGATACGAAAACTAAGGTATTTTCATTGGTACAGCACGTTTTTCAAGATTTTGGATACGTATTTGAACAAACATTTTATTTATCTAAAATCCGAATAATGTCTAGATAATTAAACTCTCACTCCCCACCAATTACATGTTTGTGATTCGAAACGAATGAACACAAAAAATCGGCTTTTGAAAAATGGNGGTAATACGTACACGGTAATAGGTACACAACCACGGTAATACCAGCATACCGTTTTTATT